GAAGACGAAGCCGGTCCTCACCAAGCTGGAGGACAGGAGCACACCGATAGTGCTCCTATGCTACGAGGAAGGTACCAAGACGTACCGGTTCTACGACCCACGTGGAGGCAAGGTGGTTGTCTCGCGCGATGTCGTGTTCGACGAGAAGGTGGCCAGGGACTAGGATAGTCTGGCACGGGGGAAGCTATTGGCTTCACCAGCACCTTCGTCGTCGAGCACTTGGTCATCAACGGTGGTGGAGACACTGGAGAGGAGGTGCCAACCACTCTAGCAATAGATCCGAGCACTCCTAGGGTAGTGCCGAGCACTCCGGGAGGGGTGCCGAGCACTCCGGGAGTGGTGCCGAGCGGTCCTGCAGTGGTGCCGACCACTCTAGGACGGGTGTCGAACGCTCCCGTAGCAGAGCCGAGACGTCTTGCAGTGGTGCCGACAACTCCAAGACTAGTGCCGAGCACTCCTAGGACGGTGCAAAGCACTACGGGAGGGGTGCCAAGCACTACAAGAGTGGTACCGAGCACTGTAGCTAGGGTGCCAAGCACTCCAGGTGCTGTGTCGACCACTTCGGCGGAACAGGGGACTCCATCGACGCCGATCGAGTTCGCCTCACCTCCAAGCGACATCACAGAGTTCGTGCATGCCTTCCACGACAGTGAGGAGGTGCGGTTCCACATGCTGTACGACATCATCGGTGGCACAGGGTCATCAGGCCTGGTGGGTCAGCTGCTCAATGACCTAGAGCTGCTTCTCGTCAGTGCAGAGGAACCACCCACGTTCGCGCTGGGCAAGCGTGATGCAAATTGGCGACAAGTGATGCTGGAGGACATGAAGGCGATCGAGGAAAACGAGACTTGGGAGCTCGTCGATCCACCTCTAGGATGTCGCCCAATCATTCTGAAGTGGGTGTACAACGTCAAGCGGGATGAGTGCAGCGCCATTGTCAAGCACAAGGCGCGCCTCGTCGCCGGAGGCTTTATCCAGTGCGAAGGCATCGACTTTGAGGAAGTCTTTATGCCGGTAGCGCGCATGGAGTCTATCCGACCACTGCTGGCTTTGGCAGCAGCGAAGGGCTAGCGCGTCCATCACCTAGATGTAAAATCGGCCTTCCTCAATGGCAAGTTGGCGGAGACAGTCTTCATCAGGCAACCTCCGAGTTTCAGCATTAAGGGAGCGGAGCACAGGGTGCTTGACTACGCAAGGCGCTCTACGGGCTACGGCAGGCCCCACGAGCATGGAACACCAAGATTAACGCCACGCTGGGCAAGCTTGGGTTCACGTGGTGCGCAACGGAGCACGCGCTCTACACACGGTGATGGGGGAAGGAGGAGCTCGTCGTGGGCATATATGTGGATGACTTGATCGTCACCGGCGCACGTGCGGAGGACATCGACATCTTCAAGCGCGAGATGGCGGCTCATTTTCGAATGAGCGATCTCGGCGTGCTCTCCTACTACCTCGGCATCGAGGTGAGATAGGGAAAAGAGGCACTCATGCTTGGTCAGAGCGCGTACACCTCGAAGTTGTTGGAGCAGAGCGGCATGGCTGAGTGCAAGCCATGCATGACTTCGATGGAGGAGCGGCTGAAGTTGATGAAGACCAGTACCGCGGCGAGGGTAGATGCAACACTCTACCAGAGCATCGTCAGCAATCTGCGCTACCTAGTCAACATGAGGCCGGACATTGTGTTTGACGTGGGCTACATCAGCCGCTTCATGGAGGTTCCCCGAGACGATTATTGGGCCACGGTGAAGCGGCTGCTGGGCTACGTCAAGGGGACGGTGGATCAGGGGATCGTCTTCCCCATGACCAGTGGAAGTGGGCTACAGCTCACTGTGTTCAGCGATGCAGATATGGTGGGGGACATCGATGGACAGCGGAGCACCTCTGGTGTGCTTGTCTTCCTCGGGTCAGCTCCAATCTCATGGGTGTCACTGAAACAGAAGGTGGTGGCGCTGTCCACGTGCGAGGCAGAGTACGTGACGGTAGCCACAACGGTATGCCAAGCTGTGTGGCTACGCCGGCTACTGGGCGAGCTTACCGGTGTGGAAGCTCACCCACCAGCACTGATGGTGGACAACCAGCCCACCATCGCCCTCGCGAAGAATCCGGTTCTCCATGATCGGAGCAAGCACATCGACATCAAGTCCCACTTTCTCAGGGACTGTGTCGATGGAGGGCAGATCATCATCGAGTTCGTCGAAACTGGTCAGCAACTCGCGGACGTCCTCACCAAGCCGCTAGGCCGTCTTCGGTTCATGGAGCTGAAGAAGATAATCGGCATGGTGGAGGTTCTATGGTTAGCAGCAAGATTAGGGGAAGAATTGTAAAGTAATCTACTACTCTGAATGCGCACGGTAGCCGTGGCAGGGGCAGGTGCTGAAAGGCTCCCCTACGGCACTGTAGCTACAGCAAGGGCAAGCGCCAAAGTTAGCTCTGCTGTCACATCTAGTCACTGTAGCAGCATGGCAGCCTGGCATGTCTGTGTAGTAGGATTAGATGGGTAGAGTTGTATATATAGCTTCTCACTATAACTCAGTAAAGTGAGCGAGTTCAGTTTTGCCATCTCCTCTGTAGAGCTCCGGCCAACACTGGTGCTTGTGTTATATGTGTGCACGCTCTGTTCTCCCTCCTTCTACCTCCCGCCATAGTATGTGTGGTCGGCAACGACGGTGAGCGGTCGGCTCACCCATGCAGGAGACCTCGGGACCAACAAGTTCTGGGTCGATGGGGTGGCATAGGGAGCCATCGGAGGCCGCTTTCCTAAGGAGTCGCTGAGGAACATCAGCGACAATGATGAAGAGGTAAGGGGAGATAGGATCACCTTGGCGGAGACCGCGGCGGCATTAGAACCAGCAGCCAGCAACGCCGTTCAGGAGAATAGCCGTCTTGCCCGTGTGAAGGGTGCGGGCAATCCAATCACACCAGGTGTTGCCGAAACCCCTCGCGTGCATGATTGCGTCGAGGCTATCCCAGGAAACTAAATCAAAAGCTTTTTTGAAGTCAAGAGAACCACAGTAGGAGCGTGGCACCGGTGGCAACAGCTCAGGAGATCAGCCGCATAGACAAAATTCTCGGCAATGCTGCGCCCATGGACAAAACCAGTTTGATCATGGTCAATCAGAGCTGGGATAAGAGGTCGAAGGCGGTTCGAGAGGATTTTGGTGACCAGTTTCATGGGGCAGTTCTGCAACGAGATGGGCCTGAAGGCGTCTGCTGAGTTGGCCTTCTGTTTTTTGGGAAGGAGGACCAGGTGAGCACGGTTAATTCTGTCGAGGTCAATAGAGCCATCATGGAAGGAGTTGGTGAAGGAGAGGAGGTCTTGCTTGGTAAGGTTCCAGAAGGCGCGGTAGAAAGCGGGGCCAAATCCATCTGGCCCTGGGCTAGAGTTCGTATCCATGGCGAAGAGAGTGGTGGATACTTCATCCATGGTGAATGGAGTAGAGAGCACCTGGTTGTCAACCACAGGAGAGGGATACAAATCCTCAAGCAAGAAGTCCCAATTTGTGGGTACAGGGCGGCAAAGGAGGGAGGAGTAGAAATTGAAAAGGACTGCCTCCTTGGAGGCGTGTAGGGTGTGGGTGGCGCCCAAGTCATCTTGGAGCTCCTGGATTTGGTTCTTCTCTCTTCCTGCTAGAGGTGGAGGCGTGAAAGAATCTAGAGTTCTCATCCCACTCGAAAGCAAGCCTCAGGGAGAATCTCTGTCGCCAGTAGGCAAGTTTTCTCTGAGGTTGGACTGGAGGGTGCTGATGGCACCGGCCCTAAGGGTGAGCTCGGGGGCAGTAAGGGGATGACATTCTTCAAGGAGGTCGAGGAAATCGATGAGGATGAGAAGATCAGCCTCACGTTGGTCAGGGGAGCGGGTCCGCTTTGCCCAAGCACGATACTCGCGACGGCAATTTTTGATGCGGCAACAAAGAGTGCAGCTAGCGGCGACAGCGGGGTGGAGGTCCAGGCCGCAGTCACCAAAGCAGAAAATCCGGGTTGACGAGCCCAAAATTTTTCAAAGCGGAAGTTTTGGGATTTAGGGAGCTTAGTGGAGATGGAGGCCAGCAGAGGGACATGGTCGGATGTGGTTGTGGTCCTGGCAGACAAAGTGGTGTTAGGAAACAAGAGGTCTCACGCGTCATTTATGAAGAGGCGGTCAAGGCGGACCAAGGTCGGGCAGTCACGCCGGTTGGACCAGGTGAATTAGCGTCCAAGGAGTGGGATTTCAGCGAGGGCGAGCTCGTTGATGGTGGCATTGAACCACGCGGCTTCGGTGTGATGAAAAGCGTCAGTGTTCTTATCGCCCGGGAAGCGGGTGAGGTTGAAATCGCCGAAGACAACCCAAGGATGGTCATTAGGAGGGGCGATGGAGGTGTGGTTAGCCAGGAACGCTGGCTTGTCGGCGTGCAGAGGGAGCATAAACATTCGTACAGGTGAAAGTGCTCCCGTCGGCTTTGAGGGAGAGGGTGGCCGAGATGGAAAATGGGCTTTGGGAGTAGGTGCAGAGATCGAAGGCGTTTGGGTCCCAGGCAAGGAGGATGCCACCAGCGGCACCGTCAGCGTAAGGGCGATGTGTGCCGAGAGGCGAGCTGGAAGAAAGGAGCGGAGTTTGGAGGAGGAAAGCATGGAGCTTGGTCTCCTAGAGACCGACAATGATGGGGGAGGCGCTGATAAGCTCTAGGAGGACATCGTCGCACTTCTCAGACTGGCCGAGGCCGCGGACGTTCCAAGAAAAGAGGGAGAGCGACTTAGCCATGGGAGAGAAGCAACACCAGACAGTAGCATGAACTGGACTCGATTTGATTCACGCACAAAGGCTGGAGTACATCACACGGGCCACCACCAAAGAACCCAAAACAGACACAAGAACACAGGGTAAGGAGGTGAACAGGGTACATGAGCCACCTTGAAGCTCAGACACAACCACAGTGAAAGGGAAAAGGGGCCTCAAGGGCCAGCGGGGGCTGCAGACGCGTATGGCATGGGTGACTGTAGCTCCAGGCATGCCGCGCACGGCGTCATACGACAGTCGGGGCACCTGCGGGAGCGTCGGACGGGAGCTGAATCCCGCAGACGCGCGCTAGCCTATGGAGGCGGGAGGGGGCGGTGCAAGCTGGGGGTGGGCGCTTCAGGATGCTCGAGCACGCCAGAGCCTCGGCCATGTTACTGGAGGCCTTGGACAGGTCCAGCTTTGCAGCCTGGACACGAGTAGCCTTGGAGGTGGCATCCTCATAGAAGGGGTTCTCCTTCACGGCGAGGCGACGGCTCCGACGGATCTTGGAGGCGCTGTCCGCCGCGTGTTTGCGCTGGGCGTGGCAACGGCGCAGGTTGACCTCATGCTCCTCCTCGGCCATGAGGTCCTCCAGCGAGAGGATAGTCGAGCGGTGGCAGGACCCTAGCTCGTTAGTCCCAATAGGGAGCGAGGGGGACGGAGCAGGAGGCGGGGTGGCCAGGCCCATCGGAGTCGGCAGGTCAAGGATGAGGATGCGGGGGAGTCTTGGGGCTCTCCACCGGGGGCACGCAGGCTATGCCCTTCAAAGCAAGTGCAAAAAACAGACCAGAGGGGAACAGAGGGGTAAAGCAAGGGCCCTAGGCAGGAGGAAGGGTGCTGACGCCCACCACCTATAGAGGACCCACTGAACAGCCGACGAGTAGCAGCAGAGGAGCCCCCGCTGTGGAAGTGGGAGCCGCCTGAGTGAGATGCAGTCTACCTCGAGCCAGGGGCAGAGTGGGTGTCCTCAGTGTCGTCGGTGCCATCATCTCCAAGGCCGCTGATGACGTAGGCGGCTGGCAGCGAGGCCCCTTCCGGGTGGACCCAGAAGTCGACCACGCGGAGCCGGGCGACAGCAGCAAGCCTGGTGCCGAAGTTGCGAAGGATGAGGCGCTCTGGAATCTCCTCGAGGTTGTCAACTAGGAGGAGCACACGGACGGTGGAGAAGTCGTTGCCGCGGAGGTAGTCGGGGTCGACGCAGCAGACGTTGCCGATGGCCCAGAACGCAATGGTGATGTGCTCGAGCGTCCAGTGCTCCAGGGGAAAGTCGTATGCCACCACCTCACCAAGCAGGCGGTAGCGACAGGTGAAGCGGAAGTCGGCCTCCTCGTGAGGCTCTAACATGAGAATGGAGCCGTCCATCCTAATGGGGGAGCGACGAACGGTGACCTCCCAGAAGTAGGGGTGGCAGAAGGCAACCACCATAGCACCACGGGAGGAAGCAGCGAGCGAAAAGGGAGGATCACTGCCGCGACGCTCTAGAGCGAGGCGGATAAAGGGCCCTGGGTCGGCTCTGGCAGGCTCGACGTAGGCGTAGGCGTAGCAGCGGCTCGGCTCGAAGTCGACGAAGGGCATGTGGACCTCCGAGTAGACATGATGTGCGACGAGGAGCCAGCGGCAAGCAAGGGGGACCCTCTGCCTCCGAGAGGAAATGGAGTGGGAGCACGCCGCACAGGGTGGCGGGAGGACCCCAATCACTATCGGAGATTGTGTACTTACCGAGTGTCCCGACAATTACCGAGTGTCAAAAGTCGGGGCACTCGGAAAACAGTACTTACCGAGTGCCAACACTCGGAAAACATAAACACCCGGTAGTCGACCGCTTTACCGAGTCAGCACACTCGGTAACTTCAGACACTCGGTAAAACTACAAGTTTACCGAAGGGGTGCACTCGGGAAAAACAGCCACTCGGTATTGAGGTGCCACGTCACCTAGGATAGCAACCGTGCGCCAAACGGCGTCACGGCATGACATGTTTACCGAGTGTTATGAGCATACACTCGGCAAACATCACGGTAACCACCGCCGCCACCGGGCGGTCCTCCACCGCCGCCGCCACCGGTAAATGCCCTAAGCCACTGGAACTTCATGCATACACTCTTTCATGAGTTTGGTTGTGACAATACATGAAGTTTCATGTAGCATCATTGTTTGTTCAGCTCAAATATTAAAATGAGTTGATGACTTTCATGTTTAGAGTTGATGACTTTAGTTGTGAAAGATGAGAAAATGACTAGACGTGAGTAAGGATGAGCGTTCTCTATATTGTTAGCCCTATGTTTCTATAAAGATTTAGATTCTTGTGGTATGGCTCGTGGATTGTATATGGATGGTTGTGGTTTGGAAATTTTAGCAAGCACAATTTCTTTATGTTATATGTTATACTTATGTTTTAATTTTACAATATCACATCTAAGTCAAGATAAGAAAATAAAGTAGTCTCTCATACTGAAATTTCTAACAAAACAATGGCCATATATATTGTTGTTCTCCTTGATTCAAACTTTATGCCTTTTTGCTTTAATTAAAAAGAGTTTTATTTTGGTAGTGAGCTTGTTGAAATTATTGGTAAATGACGAATGTGAGAACAACGTATAGTTAGGATTGCAGTATTTTAGTCATCCTCATGTTGCTGCATATGTATATGTGTTGTGATAATAATTTTCATAAGCATACATGTTTATATATTAGTTGCCTTTCTGTCCAAAATATATGGAAATTATCTAATCTTTTGTTAATTTTTTTCCACATGATCCAGTCCAAGTTTCTCATGCTATCAACAAGTATGTACCTATCTCATCAACATGTATTCCACTTGCTAAATATATCACTCTTGTTGTCTAAAATCTTTAAACAATCTATTCATTAGTAACTAGGGCTTGTCATCGGTGATTTGTTTGTGGTAGTGTCATGCCATGTGACCTATAGTGCTGCGACAGAACCTAGCGCCCCTTTGTGTGCTAGCCACATGGTTTGTCTTTGCTAAGCGTATTTGCTACTGGTGCTTGGGTATATGGTTGAGACACGCTACAAAACCTGCTGATGCTCTACCTCAATCTTCGATGAATCTTGCTAGTGATGTTTGTGGCTATAAAAATATTGGTTCAATGTATTCCTCCATCTACAAGTGACATAGCGGCCTTTCAACCTTAGGTAAAATCTCATCATCCAATCTAGCAAACATCTTCTATGTGAATCGACCAAGAACATGAATGTCTCTTTATCATCTCATATGGTTTTTCTCTAGCACTACTACTCTATTGCTCTAAACTGCAATATCGTTTATATGTTAGGATGGATGACCGTCAGTGGATATACACGGACTATCAGAAGAGGGGTCAATACACAAATGAATGGATTGAGAAGGCCTATCTGTCATGTTATTATAATTTCCTGTGATTTTGTTGCTTATTGTGATTGGATATGCACTGAAACAAACAAAAAAATTATGTGGACATATTTTACCGAGTGTAGCACTCGGTAAAACAGAGATTCTGTCAGTTTTACCGAGTGTAGCACTCGGTAAAACAGCGAACAGCGGTAAAACAGCGAAGAGAACCAAATTGGTTCTGATTCTGTGAATTTTGTCGAGTGTGCCATTTTTTACCGAGTGCCACGTCCCCACTCGGAAATATTTGACTACTTTTTACCGAGTGGGAACACTCGGTAAACATTATTCCTGAAGTTTATTTGCGGAATTGTTTTAATCACGAAAATGGTTATTCTTTTACCGAGTGTTAGGAGCTACACTCGGTAAACATTATTCAAAAAATTTATTTGTGGAATTGTTTTAATCACGAAATGCTAATTTATTTACCGAGTCTTTGCTAGTGACACTTTCGGTAAACGTCGCCGTTAACGGTCAGTTTGGAGGCTGACGACCGTCAAGTCATAATTGTTTACCGAGTGTCGTTGTAGCACTCGGTAACGCTCTGCTCCGAGTGCGCCGATATTAGACACTCGGTAAAATAACTTCACCGAGTCGTTGTTTGCCGAGTCCACTTTACCGAGTGTGGCACTCGGTAAAGAGTTTGCCGAGTGTGTAGCACTATTTGCCGAGTGTTACTCACACTCGATAAATACACAGTACGCCGTAGTGCATGTCCTGGCTGCTAGCATCGAAGAAGCGGACCAAGAGGGAGCAGGTGCGCTCACGGCATGGAGTGGCGGAGCCTCCATGACGCACCGGGGGCGAGGAAGGGGATGGTGGCGGCCGGCGGCCGAGGAGGCGCCGCGTCGGGGGTGGGGGAGCTCATCCCCTCGCCCCAGTCCAACTCGCTTGCCTTTTCCTCCTCCCTACTGGAACGTGCTCACTCTGCTCAAGATTGGTTAGCAGATTTTGCCAATTTAAGTTAACTTTGGATGGACCATGCCTTGTATATGAATTCCCAGACTCGTTTAATCTTTCCTTTTTGTAGTAGGACATGTTGGTTTACTCGCAGATATATGCTGTCAATATGTGTGTATGGTACACACAAATGTGTTTGTTTTGATACACACAAATTTAATCTCTGCACCTGAAACCAAGGGAGTTGAAACTGGCATGGTGGAAATGTTATTTTGGAGGCTGAATTTGGACTTGAAGCAAATGCCTCTCTAGCCACTCAAATACAGTGCAAACTGTGATGGGGTGGAGCTTCTAGTGCACTCTGTGTTGAATGATTGAATACTGATGCACATGGTATGTTTAGGCTTAATTTTTATTATCACACAACGGAGACTGGGACTGACTGAATGCTTCTAGTGCAACATCAGTGCATCAAGCTGATATGTCTCAACAGAAAGAGAAGAGAGTTGTGCGTTTTTTTTCTCCTTTTGCAGCTATGTAGAGAGAATAAACTTACCTAGCCATCGGTTATGTCTCTGCAGGTATATATCCTAACTAATGTTTTGATTTTTGTAGTATAATGGCATATCGATTTTGTTTGTGGAGATAAGCTTACAGTTTGCCTATTTGCTTAAGGATAAATTTTTTCAGTCGAAAGATGTGTTGTAATTCGTTACTCAAGCTTTTTTTTATAATGTTACTCAAGCTATTTTGTTACTGGCAGTGTCAGCAGAATTAAATTTGGTGCTCGATCGACTGTAACCATCCTGCCATCTGACTGAGTTACTAAACTAAGCCAGCTATCTGATGAGTGGGTAAACTAAGGACAGGTGTGTGTGTGTTTTTTTTTTTGAGAAATGGAAATTTTGCTCTTCTTCTCTTGGGCCCACACTGAGTACAAGGCCATGGCCGTGCCTATTAGTATGGGCCTGACGATAACCCACGGGCCTGTAGGATCTCTTCTCTTGGACCGCTTTGAGCCCACGGTCCTGAAATCATTTTTGTGCGGGACCGAGAAGGCACCCGTGGCCGTGGACACCACACGCCAGTCCATTCGTCTCTGCCGGTCGATGGCACGATATCCAAACCGCGCGAAGATTGCTGTGGCCGTCGTGCCACCTGCAGAGGCTCTCTCGTCCACCGGCCGCCGCCGCCACGGTGTCGCCCTCGCAGCCTCACAGCGCGGGCGGGGATCTCAGTCTTCTCTCTCTCTCTCTCGGCAGCGCGCAGCAGCAACGCGAGCTAGAGAACAGAAACCGGCGCTGTCCAGCACCCACAGTCAGCTTGATGGCCGCGCTGCCGCGACCCATGGAGCTCTGCTTCGCCACGCGCGCCGGGACGTGCCAGAGGGCGCCGACAAGCATGCCGAAGAAGCGGCGCGCCGGGGCCAGCAGCAGCACCGTGCGGTGCGTGGCGACGGCGACGGCGCCGGCGCCCATGGGGGAAAAGACGGAGTACCGTGACGGCCCGCTGGAGCGCGCGTTCATGGGGCTGTTCGCGCGGAAGATGGAGAAGTACGCGACCAAGAAGAAGCAGCCGCAGCCGCAGTCACCTGAGCCGGAGAAGAAGGCGGTGTGGGATTGGGACTACGAGAGCTTCGTGGACGTGTCGCGGCGCGTGATGGTGGGGCGCACCCGCGCGCAGCAGCAGGAGGCGGTGCGCGAGGTGCTGCTGTCCATGCTCCCGCCCGGCGCGCCCGAGCAGTTCCGGAAGCTGTTCCCGCCCACGCGCTGGGCGTGCGAGTTCAACGCCGCGCTCACCGTCCCTTTCTTCCGCTGGCTCGTTGGTCCCTCCGAGGTCATCGAGGTGGAGATCGACGGCGTCAGGCAGCGCAGCGGGGTGCTCATCAAGAAATGCAGGTACCTGGAGAACAGCGGCTGCGTCGGGATGTGCGTCAACATGTGCAAGATCCCCACCCAGGACTTCTTCACCAACGAGTTTGGACTCCCCCTCACCATGAATCCAAGTGAGTAATCTAAAAAGAAGCTCATCCCTTGCCATTTCTTTGTATTCAGTTCTGAATGCCAGAAATGCAGAAACAGTGACCACTGAATATGCTCATGATGTTCAGCGAACCAATTGGCCTTTTTATCTCTTTCAGAAACATCAGTTTAGCTATCCGATTATTATATCATATCATGAACTGATGAACATTGATCCATCTGCGTGCAGATTTTGAAGACATGAGCTGCGAGATGATATACGGCCAGGTGCCACCACCCTTGGAAGAGGATCCAGTGTCAAAGCAACCTTGCTACCCTAACCTCTGTGAGTGCTCCCAAATTCCACAACCACAAACTGAAGCTCTGCACTTGCAAAACGGTTTGGTTACACATGCTGCTCGTTTCTGTTTCTTCATTCAGGTTCCATGTCGACGCCGTCTGCCCCGGTCTGTCCCAAACTTCAGGCGTAGGTATACACGAGGTTGAGTTCATGTCCAGTGCACATTCAGTTTCGTCAAAGAAACCACAGTTCAAACTTCGTAGTACATAGTACTAGTAGGTAAGGATCGGTTGCATTGCGCCTTGTTCCTGCAGCGCTGCAGTCTGATTATTGTCTTTGTTATATACTACTATATGCTTGCAGACCGTTGCTATAGGAAACCGTTGGCTTGAGATCGAGGGTTCGCACACGGAAATTGGTTTGGTGAGGCAGTAACATTAGTTTTTATACAGAATGTACATAACGAAACTTGTAAGTAATGAAGTTACATAAGTTTGTTCTGAACCAGGACAGAGCACTCTGGAAAGAACAAAGACCCATGGATCCAACGGGATCAGTATCATACACTATTTTCTACTTGCTCCAAACCTTCGTACGTCTAGGTTTGCAACCGATAATGCCCCCTTATTACGAACGTATGATTTTTTTTTAAATCATGTGTTTTTATGTGAAATTTTTGTATTACGCTCATTCCCAAGCGGCACCTTCCGACCAGTTTCGTTTTAAAGCTGCCCCATTAAGATCTTGAAAAAAATCCCGATTTCCAGGCTGCAAAAGCAGACTGGTAATATAATCGACGTGGATCAAACATGCTTCCCGAGCCCTTGTTGAGTTCTTTCTCCTAAATTACTCTATATCTCATCGAATGTTTGGACACATGTACGAAGAATATTAAATACAGACTAAAAAATAACTAATCTTACAGTTTGCGACTAATTTACGAGACGAATCTTTTAAGCCTAATTAGCACATGATTTGACAATATGTGGCTACAATACACGCATGTGCTAATGATAGATTAATTATGCTTAATAAATTCGTCTCGCGGATTATGGACGGATTCTGTAATTTGTTTTTTTATTAATATCCAAACACCCTATGCGACGCTCCCACGTAACACTCGATGTGACACCCAAAACTTTACACCCTAGATTTAAACAAGGCCCGAAAGGGTGATCAATTTATGAAAAATTTGTCTATGCCACAAAGCTTGTCTAGATCGCCAGTAGAAATAGATACTATATCTATCCCGAATTATAAGTTATTTTAACTTTCTTAGATAGTCAAAATATTTTAAAATATCTTAAGTTTGACCGAACTTATAATAAAATAATAACATTTATTGTATTAAATAAGTACCATTAAATTCTACATTAATTATATTTTCATATGATACCTTTTTGTAAATCTTTGTAATTCTTTCTATAATTTTGATCAAACTTGAGATGTTTTGACTCTCTAAGAAAATTAGAATAACTTATAATTTAAAATGGAGGAAGTATATTTCTACTTGTGGTTGTCAGCAGACCTCACCCTGGGGACCCGTCGGCAGCGCCAAGGCCCAAGAGGAAGAGAGTAAGCAACATCAAGTTGTCTGGGCCGGAATGGGCCTGCGTGTCTTGTAACGAGAAGCCCAAGTTGGTGTGAGGTCCGCTTCTTTGGCCCACTGTGGTCCGATGCTTGAGAAGGAGACGAAGCCTTAGAGTATATGTACTCTGGAGAGAGTCGAAGAGAGGGCATCCAACAAACTACTGTATTGTTTCTAGCTTTCGCCAAGCACTCTTCTAAATATACAACGTAGTTCCTGTGTTTCCCTTCCAAGTCCGGCCATTCGCCACCTCGTCGGCTAACATTGGTATCAGAGCCGTCGATCCCCGGCCTCCGCGCGTGCTGGAGATCCTCCCACCCGCCCATCCCCACTTTACCCGCCTTCAACGCACCCGCGGCGCCATGGATCTCGTGGTCCACCAGATGTTCGATGATTTGACTCACCGCTTCGATGCTTTTCGATCTGAGTTTGACGGTCTCGGTGCCCGCTTGGATCGGCGCTTCACCGAGACGGAGGTCATCCGCTCTGAGCACGACTCCACCGTCGACCGCCGCCTCGACTCCTTGGAGTAGTTCGCCTCTACCCAGTATACCGCCGCCATCGTTGCCGACAACTGGGGTGGCCACTTCTCTGAGCGCGTCGGTGAGCTGGAGGAGCGCGTCCGCGATCTGGAGATGGTGCGCTACTTCGAGATCCAGGACGAGCACGACGAGCGAGTCACCGAACTCGAGTCCGCAGCGGAGGCCTTCAAAGCCTGGCGTCCTCGGATCGAGAGCTCCCTCTTCACCATTCGCTCGGAGGTGGATCGGTTGTCCAAGCTCTGGGATCGATCCTGCGCTGCTCCTACCGATGGATCTATCGAGCCCAACGGTACTCTAGAGTTGGTCGCCGGGCGAGCACCTGTTGGAGCAACGACCGACTGGCCTAGTGGGCATGGTGTGGCCTCACCAACACGGGATGCGGGGTATGGTTTGGTCACAACCATAGCCCCGTTCCTGGCCAATGGTACGTTACCCCGCCCCAATCCTCCTCCGTCGCCGTTACAGTTCCCTTCTCCTCCCCCTCCACCACCGTATCCTCCTCCTCCGCCACCGATGCCGTACCCTCCTCAGCCTCCTCCACCACTGCCCAACCCATACCCGCCACCATATTACCCGCCGCATCCGTTTCCAACTCCCCACTATTCCCCCAATTCCGCTCCGCATCCCAAAGCCCCAATTCCTCCACCCACCGTTCAACATCCTGCCCACCCACATCCCAATTCACATTAGCCTAATTACTTTTCCCACCAAACCAACCCCAATTTAGGCCAACTCCCTAAGATGTTGTTTCCTCAATTTGATGGGGATAATCCTAAGCTGTGGCTGTCTTGTGCTCGCTCCCATTTCAAAATGTATTCGGTTCATCCTGTGATCTAGGTTCGCATGGCCACTCACCATTTCACCCATGCCGCAGCTCGCTGGCTTCAGTCTGTCAAGTCTGAAGTGCAGAACATATCCTGGGAGTCATTCTCTAACCTCATCCATGAGCGATTCAGCCATGATCAGCATGAGCTGCTCTTACGCCAGCTTTTCCACATCAAACACACCTCCACCGTTTCGATTACATCGAAGTCTGCTGACAGTGGTTGACTTAACCTATCTCCATTAAATTGTTGCCTAAAAAATCAACTCTTGCCGCCTGTTTCAAAGTGAAAAAACTAACTTACTTCTCTCTCTTCTTTTTATCTCTTGGATCCCCTTGCCCTTCTCGTATGTTCAAACCATATGTCTTCCCCCCCCCACCCTCTTCCTCTCTCCTTCCTCAGTCCTCTCTCTCTCTCTCTCTCTGCATGGCGGTGCAACCATGACGCACAGGCGGACAGCGTGGCCAGCCATGGCCTGGCACACGCGGGCAGGCGATCGGCTTGGCCACTTCTCATTTGACTATTCGTGTTCGTGCTTGTGATCGCATTCGATTTGTTCACCAGCGAGCATGCAGGGCATGGGCGGCGCGTCGCCGCGGCGGCATAATACCGGTGGGCGCCTATTTTTTTCGTAAAACAATTTGCATTGGCGGTGGACATAATAGGCCTGTCACTATATATGTATTTAAACTAGCGGTTGATATAAGGCTACCACAACCAAAGATGTGTTTGTACAGACTGTTTTAAAATTGACGCAAGTGGAAATAGAGCATTCTCAACAATGGCCTTCCACACTAAGGCCTAATTTGTAAACTCCAATTCCTCCGAGATCCCGGACTTTTCTCTAGGTGGATAATCCATGGGGATATCATTTTAATTATCATCTTAATTCTTAGTGTGGGGTTTTTCATCCCTGGATTTTGCTCCCCTTTGCTTCAAAAGAGCCCTTAGGCTTCCTTTCCCTGGGTTTTGCTACCCTTTGCTTCAAAAGAGCCCTTAGGCTTCCTTTGGGAGGAGGGGGCAGCTCAGCCCAAGGAACAGCAGCCCCTAGGTGGATTTTTGTGGACAGTCACATCCCCCTCCGCTAGTAAACATCCAAAATCTGCCGCTTGGTCATCGAAGGGGGTTTAATGGATTGCTCTGATGACTTATTCTTAAAGAAATTAGGTTGCACCTAGGGCTGCAGCCCCACCAACCACAAGCATGTATCTGCCCTTGTTGGACATGTTACCAATCTTGGCAGATAACCTCAAAAAAAACATCCACAAAGCATTTCACAATATATAACTCAATTTTCAAAATATTTTACAAAGGTTTTCATTTGCTTTTCACCATGCCACTCGATCCTAATGCTAGACACCACAAGTTGTTGCAAGCTGTGAAGCCATCATGTCATTGCCTCCGCTTGCGCCGCCTATCAACATTGTCCAGCACCAGACTAACCCATGCCGTGGAGAGTTAGCTGCCGCAACCCGCCGCAAAGCTGTCTATCTGAGTAGTTTCCTCTATTCGTCAATGTGGATTTGACTCACTGCGTTACCATGCAACTCAGTTGCCGGGATGCGAGCACCATGAGGAGGAGGAAGGAGCTTTAGTGGCAAAGGTCCCCGCCGCGCCGTCCTCACAACCGCACAGGACTCTGGCCAATGGCACGCTCAGACAGCGACAAGGAAAGAGAAGTGACGGTTGGTGCTAAGTCGTTGCCCATGTTCCCTATGTCACGATGGCCTGTTTGCATGCACCAATAAAATGGGTTTAGAGAGTCCTTTTACAAAGCCCTTGTAGATGCTCTTAGAGCATCTCCAAGGAGTCCTTTTTAAACTCATTCTATGTTGGTATTTATTAACGCACACAGATAAATCCGTAAGCGCACGGATACCGCTGTAGCTTTCACCTGGAAGTATTCCAAGTATCGTATCCACAGAGAAATCTGTGAGACTAACTACGGTCTAATTTAACAAGGGGTAGCAACAAGCTTAGAAAAAAAAATAGAGCGTAGAGAGGATAACTGAGGTTCTCTAATTCTAACTTGGGTAAGCTATGTCTTCTACTGTTCAACTGGGGACATTATTAGGGAAAGACACCAGTAGAGTATGCTTTCCTTCGTAACCGGGTCCTACTTGGCTTACAGACAGGAGGTGGACTACAAAGGATCAACGATGCTATATAGTACTCAACGAGGCTATATAGTATTGATGTCACACACGCGATCTACCACTGATCCGGAATGCAATGT